TATATGCATATATATATAATAAATAATATACAAATAGTATAGCTAGCTTACAAGAAAAATTATTTTCTTTTATTTAAATAATTTAATTTGATTCTTCTATTTTTAAAACGTTGAATTTTTAATCTTTTAATTTTTAAAAATTATTCAACGTTGTTTTTTCATTTAAATTCACTCTAACATCATTACTAACTTAATCATATTTTCTAAAATTATGAGAATAAATTGAATATTTAAATAAAAAAAACAAATGTACAGATAAAAAAAAAAGTCAAGAAAAGTAATTTAACATAAAAAAATGATATATAAAAACATGCATGACATTTTTAAGCAATATATGATAGATAATTTACCAATATAATAGCCTTGATGACAGTCCTGTCTATAGGAAAGCCAACATCATTTGTCCTTTGGATCCGAAGCAAAACCTCCACAAAATTGCCATGTTCCATGTCGGTTCCTCCAAGACCACTCACATGCTCTTCAATAACCTCATGCAAAAACTCATCAAACTCTTGAGCCACTCTTTTTGCTGTACCATGCAACCCAGAAACCCTATCTAAGAACTCAAGCCAAGGCACGTAGTCCCCAACAACAAAGCTCCCAAGCAACTCCGTAAACTCCTCCAACAACCTCTTAAACCCCCTCCCACGTTCTCCACCGTACGTTCTCCCCAAAGCAACGCGACAAACTACGTTGTTGGTAACCCTAGACAACGTTTCGCTCAAGTTCAGCAACGTCGAACCGGAGGAACAAGAGTGTCGAATGTTGTCCATGGTGGCTTCCACTTCCTCTTCTCTCACCGCGCGAAAGGATCGAACCCTTTTGGCGCTGAGAAGGTGCAACACGGAGATGCTCCTCATTTGCCTCCAGTACTCTCCGTACGGCGCCGAAGCGACGTCGTTTGAGCCGTACAAGAGGATGTCGAACATTTTACTGTGCGGTCTGTCCGAGAAGAGGCGGTCGTGGGTTTTCATGACCGCACGTGCGGCGTCGGCTGATGAGATGACCACAAGTGGGACCCTCCCGAGGTGGAGAAGCATTAATGGGCCGTGCTTTTGGGCCAGAGATCGGAGGGTGCGGTGGGGATGGGAGCCCAGTTGGTGGAGGTTTCCTATTATGGGAAACTTTGGAGGGGAAGGGGGTGAGTTTTTGCCTTTTGTGGAAGTTAAGTGCCATAGGGTCTGGAGAAGTAATAGGAACAAGATGGAGAAGACTATGAGAAGCATTCTATGGGGGTGGGAACTGTTTTGATCAATAATGATTATGCACTTGCTATCTAAGAATATATATATACATGTTATAGCCATGGGATGGAAAAAGTTATTAGTTTATGATTTGATTAACTAATTATTAACTTATAAGAAAATAATATTTACATTTAATTACATCTTATGTGGAGAATAGTTAGGAATAATAATTTCTCTATGGGATGATGGGAAGGGGACATGCATGGTTTGATATATTTTTGTCTTTTTTCTCTTGTAAAAAAATTGTTTTGTTTTTTTTATCTTTTATTTTAATATTTTAGTTTTTAAATTTAAGTTAATATTATTTTTCAAATATAAACTCAATTTTTAAAATTAAAAGATTAAAAAAAATTAAAGATAAAGACTGAAATGAATGTATTTCTATATATTAAACATGAACATATATTATGAGGAGAGTGCTTTTAAGATTTTTTTATTTTTATTTTTGGAAGAAAGTGCTTTTTGTTATACCCTGATTTTCTGGGATGATCCACCATAATAAATAAAAAAAATTCCTAAAATAAAATATTAAAAAAAACTATTTACCAAACTAAATAATTTTGGACACGTCGGATGTGGAGGAAAGAAGAAAACGTCAGAGGCAGTGACAATTTGTGAAAAATGTTCGTGTTAATATTGTTCATCACAGAAAACGTCACTAGTACTGACATTTTCTGCTCATAAAAAAAAAAAAGCAACAGAAAACGTCACTGGTACTGACGTTTTCTATTCATCAACAAAAAGCAACAGAATACGTCACTGGTACTGATATTTTGTGCGACGTAAATGGTGATCATTGCAGGATAAAACTTGGTGCTATAGCAAAACAACTTTTTCTTCCACGCACAGAATAGGTTGTTCAAGAATGGGACAGGGATGTGGATTTCACTACTATTGATTAACCGGTGTCAGTTGCTTTAACAGTTTTCCATGGGCATCCACCCGCAAAGATAAGAGGCCTACGCAACGATCCTTAGAACTCTCCCGGTTCAAAGCCGCCCGCAATTGATACCTTTCCATTCCTATATTCTATACGATACGTTATTTTCCAGTTTAAAAGAGCTTATTCGAGAACAAGGCGCAGCAAAAGCGAATTCGATAACAAGATTCTTCGCAATTAGCCTTTCCTCGCTTTCGCTTTCAAGGGGCGTAGCGCTTGCTTACTTCTTTTAGTAGAGTCCGTAATTTTGAGCTTATTAGGTCACAATCCTGTCTTATTTAGATCTTATTTCAGTCTATCCCTTCTTCCACATGAGATCCTATTTTTCCTCCATGTAGCACCACTATCCAATGAAAAATAAAAAATCCTGTTGTTTCACTCCCATGATAGAGAACTCCAGTGACGTATTCTGTTGCTTTTTGTTGATGAACAGAAAATGTTAGTACCAGTGACGTTTTCTGTTACTTTTTGTTGATGAACAAAAAACGTTAGTACCAGTGACGTTTTTTTGTGATGAACAATATCAACACATCATTCAGAGTAACGTTTTTCACAAATTGTCACTATCTCTGACGTTTTCTTCTTTCCTCCACATCCGACGTGTCCAAAATTATTTAGTTTGGTAAATAATTTTTTTATTAATTTATTTTAGAAATTCTTTTTTATTTATTATGGTGGATCAGTCGATTTTCTGAAACAAAATAAAATAAATCTCCTTTATTAAAAAAGTATAATATAGGCTTAGTTAAATAATTAATTAAGTTTATAATATAAAAAAATATTTCTATTAATTAATTAAATAAAAGAGGTGTTTTAATAAATTAATTATATTTATGAATTAATTGACGTAATTAATGCATTATAATTTTGGTCCCATAGCTTTAACTGCTCAATTTTTGTTCATATATTTATTTAAAAAATGGAAAATTTTACTAGCCATATATGAGAGTTAACTCACCATCTAGAATATGATCAACACTAATGAAGAATATTTATGGTGTATAAATAAATAACTCGTCGTTTGGTTTGTGTCACATAAATATTTAATACGATATTAATTTTTTATAAATTACATTATTTAATAATTTATGAAATATATAAATAAAATTGATGAAAAAGAGAACTAAACTTGTTTAACCACGAGAGTTGGTTGCTTAGTTGATATCCGTTGATATAATCCGATCCATAGAAAGAGAAATAACAATCATTTTCAATATATTTGATTCATCATTCTATATAGTTAGATAGTCCGTAATCTGTACAAAATTGGAGAAACACAAAATAAAAAAGAAATGGTTGGACACTATGATTTGAGTGGATCCTTAAGTCAACAAAGATTTGTCATAAATGTTTTTTTCATTGATAAGAACTAAGTTCTTTGATAAAAGCCAAGAGAAAAATTCCCCCAAGAGATAATAATCTCATTCAATGACTTCCAAAAGCGTTTTACAAATGAATGGATAATACCTATTTATAGTTAACCCATTTAAGAAGTGTATTAGACACACTTCAACTCACTAAAATGCCCAAAAAAGAGGTTTGACATGCAAAACAAACTCAAACTATAGATGTAGTTGCATCATTTCTTCTTAGACATAAGATTCTGCCACATAGAGAAATTCTCGTTCAAAAGCGATCTGGTCGCTCAACGAGATTCACTGTAAGAAAAATCAGAATTATCTACGGAAGAAATCCATAGATAAGCATGAAAATCTGTAGATAAGTCTTAATTATCTACGGATTATGTACAACCAAAAATTAGCAGGTAATAAGGTCGTAGATAATTTTATATATGGACATATCTACGGATTACCCACAAAAGTTGTTATCTATGGATTATATCTACGGATAAAATTTAAAAGACTTACCTACGAAATTATCTATGGGTGAGGTTATCTATGAAAATTTCCGTAGGAAAATTTTTGTTTAATTTTAATAAATTTATTAATGTAACAACTCTCATATTTGGCCTCTCAAGGATGCTATTTCACGACACTTCACTTTTCAACGTGTTTTGTCCTTACTGCACAATTTCTAGTAAACTTCCCAAAAGGTCATTTATCCCTATATTACTCTAAGTCAATCACGCTTCTACCGAAAAGCATATGCATATTATAAGTAGTACAAATTAATTCATTTAAGTCATCCTCAACTATACAATCTCATACTTATACTATCTTTGGATCTCTCTCATTTCGGTGTGTTCGGACCGCTATAAAAATATAAAAATATATATAATAATCATATTACCAATAATAATAATTATATTATATTTAATTAATCTTTTTATATATATATATACATTTACTTTTATAATTAACAATCTACTTATTTCTATTTAAAATTATAA